TGAAAACCTAGTGGGGTGAGAAGATGGCACTGAGCCCAAACTCTGGCAACTTGGAGCCTTCTGCTCTTTCTTGCTACTTGGTAGAACCTGATTCTCTTGTGTATTTGATAATAAGGTAGATGGAAAAATGGCCTACTCTCAGTCACACAGCCTGGGTTCTAAGCCTGGCTCTGTCACTAAATCATTGTGTGACCTCCTACAAGTCCCTTAACTTCTCTGAATGTTTTCTCCTCTGTAAAATGAGGCTATTGGACTAAATGATCTCCAAGACCCCTTCCTAATTTGATGTTGTATAGTCCTATTATAATTCCACCATGGAACAAGATTCTGCATATACAAACAACTATTTTTAACTCATTTCTTCATCTGGCTGGGGGTCAAGCTAAGTTCTGTCTTTAGCTGGGAACAGAAGAACTGAACATTTTGTAGCTGTGAGTCTTGAGGTAACACATATCAAATTAATTCCCTACTTTATACGTTGAATTTATGTTATCTACTTTATACATCTACTTTATGTTATCTACTTCAGATATCTGCATTTTTAGCCTTATTTAGCCTATCCCTACATGCCTGCTGCAGTCTCTCTACATTATAGTATATGGTTTTTGTGAGTTACCCTAGCTAAAGAAATTCATTACCTTATGACCAGCCTTCTAGTGATGAGGCTTTCTGGATTTTTCCATGCTGGTCTTGAATAACAGATGCATAATAGTCAGCAAACTCATACTCAAAGCATCTTGAGGTATATAGCTTAGACTCCACTAGTGTAGGCTTTGAGAACTTAACAGCTACAAGGGTAAAGTATTGGAGAAAGACTTTAGTGGAGGTTATACGTGATATCATGGCCAAATTTTGCTAATTAAAAAGATTTCAGTTTTCTGAAAGAGATTTGGAGTCAGAAGTACTGGGATGGGGTAGCTAGTTGTCGCAGTGGATAGAACACCAGCTCTGGAGTCAGAAAGACCTGAGTTCAAATCTGATCTCAGACACTTGACCCTGGGCAGGTCACTTAACCTCAATTGCCTTGCCAAAAAAAAAAATTGCTAGGATCAAATGCTGGTTCTACTGTTTACAAACTGTGTGATTTATTCAAGCCACTTTTCCCTGTGAGCCTGTTTCCTCAAATAACAACAATAATAATAGTTTTACGACCTCCTTCACAGGGTGATTGCCAGAATTAAACAAGATAATGTATGTGAAAATGCTATAGAAAGGTCAGATCTTATCGTTATTTAGCCGTTGTATATAATGCCTTAACTCCTGAAAGGCAGTGAGATGTTTGATATTGAAGGTGCTGAAAGCTTTTCACTGAGAACCATCACAGCAGCTCCTGTTGAAAAGCAGTGCGGCCTAATTAATAAGGGCTGGAACTGAAATCAAGAAGACCTGATTTTGAATCTGGCCTCGGAAACTTACTGGACCAATTAACCACTCTTGGCCTGGATTTCCTCATCTGTTAAATGAGATAATAATAGCACCTTCCTTACAGGGTTGTAAGGATCAAATGAGATAATTTATGTAAAGCACTTTGTCTCACTGCCCTTCTCCTAAATCCTCTCTCCTGGGTTCTCATGACACCATTCTCTCTTGATTCTCTTCCCATCTGTCATCATCCATGTCATGTCCCCTAATCATTATGGTCTATCTAGGACCCTCTTTTCTCTCACTTCATCCTCTCTTCCATGATCTCATTAGCTTCTATGGGTTCTCCATGGGTTCTTCTGTGGGTTGTGATCTCTAGAGAGATGACTACAGGATTTACATACATCTCCCCCCCCCAGTATTTCTCCTGAGCTTCAGGCCCTATTGTATATCTCCAATTGGATATTCCAAAGGCATCTCAGAATCAACAAGTTCAAAACAAGACTCATTTTTCTTTTCCCCAGAACCTTTCTTTATTCCTAGATTGTCTATTTCTGTTGAGGAGGCCACCATCCTTCCAGTTACCCAGGTTCATAACTTCAGTCATGAGGAGGCCACCATCCCTCCAGTTACCCAGATTCATAACTTCAGTCATGAGGAGGCCACCATCCCTCCAGTTATCCCAGTTCATAACTTCAGTCATGAGGAGGCCACCATCCCTCCAGTTACCCAGGTTCATAACTTCAGTCATGAGGAGGCCACCATCCCTCCAGTTACCCCGGTTCATAACTTCAGTCATGAGGAGGCCACCATCCTTCCAGTTACCCCGGTTCATAACTTCAGTCATGAGGAGGCCACCATCCTTCCAGTTACCCCGGTTCATAACTTCAGTCATGAGGAGGCCACCATCCTTCCAGTTACCCCGGTTCATAACTTCAGTCATGAGGCGGCCACCATCCTTCCAGTTACCCAGGTTCATAACTTCAGTCATAGTCTACCCTTCTCTCTCACTCCCTGATTTCGATTAGTTGCCAAGTTTTGTTGGTTCTACCCACACAACATCTTTTGCATTAGTTCCCTTCTCTCCACTCACATGACTACCACCCTAGCTCAGGCTTTCATCACCTCTTGCCTGAACTATTAAAATAGTCTCCTAATTGGTCTTTTTGCCTCTAGTCTCTTCCCTTTAGTCTCCATTCCATCCACAAAATGGCCAAATTGACCCTGTCACTACCATATTCAAGAAGCTCCAGTAACTCTGTTGTCTCCAGGATCTAACATAAACTCCTCTGTTTAGCGATTAAATTCCTTTACAATCGGGCTCCAGTTTGTAGCTCTGGGCATATTGTATATTACTCCCCTCTATGCATTCTGTTTTTCAGGCAAACTGTCATGCTTGCTTTGCTGTTTCATGTATACAGCATTCCACCTTCTGTCCCTGTACCTTTACAAAGGCTGTCCTCAGTGCCTAGAATATATTCCCTCTTTACTTCTACCTGTTAGAATCCCTAGCTTCCTTCAAGGTCAGTTCAGGTGCTACCTGTAGCATTTTTTGATCCCTCTATATGCTAGTACATTTCCTCTGAAAATTACTTTGTTTAGACTTTGTATATTCTACCTACAAGGAGGGTAGGAGTTGGAACAACATGAATGTAGATTAGTGTTTGTTCCTCACCATAGTAAAATTTTTAAAAATGTAAGGTCCTTGAAGGAAGGTACTATTTGGTTTTTGTCTTTGTATCCCCAACGCCTAGCTTAGTTCTTGGTATATAGTAGAAGCTTAATAATTGCTTGTTGAATTAAAGAAATGTCAACTGTTATCATTGTTCTTAAAATTATACTTTTTTTTGGTCTACTCCATGTGACAACCAAAGTGCTTAGCTTGAGTTTTCTTAAATTCTCCAGTTCTGTTTCCTGTTCTGAATTCTTCAACTTCTTCTCTCATATGGTAAGGTGAAATCATAACCATTACAGGATGCAGGGAACAGAGAAAGTAATACCACTATAGAGTTTGATTTATTTTGTGGTTTTAATGCTTAAGAGCAAGGTACACTTCTTTGGTATCTTCTGTTGTGTTCTTTTTTGAAAAATAAACAACATCATCATAAATGGTAACATTTTCTTTCCCAAATTCTATTTTCAAGCTCTATAGAGAAGGAAGATTGATGCAGTGGAAGGAGCCCTAGGCTAGGCTTCTGGAGACATGGGCCTTAGCACTCGCTCTGCCGTAGACTTGCTGTGTGCCATCAGACGAGTCCTTTCCCCTGAGTCTTATGTTTTTCATAGGTAAAGTAAGGATCTCTGTGGTCCCTCCCTGCTCTTGGTCCATGCATAATTCTATGAAAACTCTAGAGAAAAAAACTTCCAGATTATCTCTTTGTATAGATTAATAGTTTAGTTATCATGTGCCAGAATTATCAGAGTTTTTAGAAATTGAGGCAGGGGATAGTTAAACTAGAAAACAAAATGTGAGAAAAATGTTCCCTCAAAAACTATGGCTTCCCAGACTGTGATTTCTGAGGAGCAGTGATTGGAGTGATTTATTTCCTTTCTGACCTATGTTCCTCCTAGAGAACCGTTTGGATTTGGAATCCCTCTTATTAGGCCTAGGTTTTGTGGTGCTAACTTGATGCTATTCTGGGTTAAGATCATTTTACAGAAATGTCATGTCAATTATACCCTTGGAATTCTGTTAGGCAAATACTGCTACCAGCATCATATAGGAGGTGAATTATTAATACTATGGGAATGTAAAAGCTTTTCACATCCCAAAACATTTGTTTTAAGCTTTAAAATGACACAGTGTGAAGTTAACCTGTGTGATTCTAAAAGCTTATGGAATGTATTCCTTTTTGATGACCCAATATCTATTATTTTTACCTCTTGGTGAAGCCTATAACCAGTGAGACTCAACTCCCTATTTAATACTAATGAAATTTGCTGGAGTAAAACTAGGCAAATTTATGTTAAAATGTGGTCTTTAGAATCATGAGGGAAGCACCTCTAAGCTCTGGGTTCTCTTCCCCTTAGCACTGATCCTTGGAAACAAGTAGGGATTTTTTGGAAGGCCATGCATAAAAATGGAGGCTGGATTTCTAGTGTTTCACTGTTCAGCCCCACAGTAGCAGATGGTATGAAAGCAGGAAGATACTGTAGCAGCTTCTTCAGCCTGGCTCAGAAATGCTGCTGTCTGAAAAACATGCGTCTCCAGAAGTGATAACTAGCGAAGGGTTCATGGTTGGAGGAAGGGGGAAGGGATGATAAAATGACTTCTTGTTTTAACTCAAGGTTAGATAGATTTTAGGCAGGCTTGGGAAAGTAGTGCTCAAATTAATCAGTGCTGATTAGGGTAGACTCCTTACTAGGATGGTGTACTGGATTTAGTCAGGATACCTCGGTTCAAATCCCAGTTCTGCTGCTTACTGCCAGTGTGACCTTGGGCAAGTCACTGCTACTGTCTGGGCCTCGGTTTCCCCCTCTGTAAAGTAAAGGGATAAGAACTAGATGATATCTAAGGCCTTTTCCATCTTCAAAATCCTATGATTCTAACCCTATCTCCTGTGGTGACTACGTGGAAGTTATTTTACCTTTGTATTGCCAACACCAGACACAGAGCTTTATATATAGTACATGCTTAATAAATATTTGTTTAGTAAATAAATTAAGAAAAAGGTCCAATAATGATATCCTAGTGGCAGGTCTGAACTGAAATGGATGTGAGGAAAGAATGAGGTGAAAAACAAAGGACAGTCCTATCTGGAGTGATGGGATTGCCCTCTGGATTCTTTTTGTGATGTCTCATCTTCTGTCATATGAGCACACAGATCTGAGAGATCTTGCTTGTGCTGCCTTGCTTTTCTTCTGCTCTTTCTGAGTCACTCTGCTGTTTTCTCACCACCATCAGAATCTCTTCTTGCTTCTTGGTTTTGACAGTGCATATTGCCTTGATGTTCTTGAGGGGGTCGTAAGAGGCGCTTACTGGCTGAGGGCAGCGGAAGCGCTCACGGATGAGATAGCCGTGTCTTGTTGTTGCAATAAAACCGTCAGCCGTAGAAATGATTTTATTTACTGTTGCACATACAAACTGAACAGCCAACAAAGAACCTGTGGACAAGTTAGGAAGACACAGATGAGAAAGTTACAGCAACAAAGAGAAGCTGGGTAGGCAGCACTGTTCCAGGCATATCTCCTAAGACAGCAGTAGGAACCCACTCCGCTCCAACTTCTTTGGTTGCTGTGTTTTACATCGTAACGGAGGCAATACGGGTAGTGGACACAGTGTTGTGCTTAGAGTCAGGAAGGACTTGGTTCAGATCCTTTCCTTGATATTTACCAACTATTGGACTATGCCAATTCCATAGGATTTAACTGTGAAATCATGGATGGCAACAATCTATTTTGATGGAAGGACTTCCCACACTGAGAGTTCAAATCACAGATTGTTCACATGTGTTAGGCTTGAGTTAATGATAATTATTACTGTGGCTCCAGAGTCACAGATCTAAATTTATAGAATCTTAGAATGTCAAAGCTAAAAGTTTCCTCAGGAAGGGACTTTACAATATAGAATCACAGAAGCTCCTTGTTGGAAGGGACACCCGCACTGTCTGGTCCAGCACGTGCTAGAATAAGAATGTCTTCTACAACATACATAAGTGGTCACTTAGGCTTTGCTCTGTCACTGGCCCAGCAAAATAATTTGGGGATACTTCCTCAGGCTTTGTCTGGAAGTATGCAAAGCCCATGCCCCTCATGTCCCCCTTGAATACCAAATACTTTATTAACCCTCTAAAGTCTTAGACTCCTAGGATGTCAGAATTGGAAGGGATTTTATAACATAAAGTGTTAAAGTTGAAAGAGTTCATAGCATATGAAATGTTATATATGAAATTATAAAGCATAGAAAGTTAAGGGTAAAAGGACTTTAGAACATAGAATATCAGAGGGAAAAGAATCTTAGAAAGTATCCAGTCCAATCTCTTCACATTTCAAAGAAGAAAACTGAAGTCCAGGAAGGAGGAGAGATTTGCACAAGGGCAGGTACATATCATGTTTTGAAAAACTTGTCCAATTTGTATCACACAGAAATTCAAATATGGTCATAGTAGGCACTCAATAAATGTTTGTTGAATGAATGAACAGTTATTATAGTTCGGTACTCTACTGAGAGAACCATTTGTTCAATGGATTGACTATGGAAGGATTTGTGAATCCTCTCACCAGATCTCATTTAATACTATTTTCCCAACTGCAAAGCACTGTTTGACATAGTCTTATTATATCTAAGAGGAGGTTATTAAGATTATTAAAATGGAGAATATTACCAACATGCCTCTATTCTCCAGAGTTTCCTTCACACTAGCCCCAGGGAAAGAATCGAGGTCCCAAACTTGAAGCCTTTTCCCTCCTTGCCACAGGAGTACAATAGAAAATGGGACTTAAGGCTCAAATCCATGATGATGAAGATTTGGCCCGTTACTATGTAAATAAAAAATCTCAACAGGCTGCCAAGTAGCCACAATTTATTCAGCCCCTATGATATTCCAACGCATTCTAAAATTTACAATGCTTATAACCACAGGCGCTGAGCATTTTGCAATAAAGCCTTCCCAAGCACATTTCTCACAAGGATCCAATGAAAAATGGTATTATTGAAATTATGAAGTTCAAGACAGGAATCACCCAGTGTACAATCTGTGTGGAACATTTCTCTGGCCTCTAATGTCTCTGAACTAAGATAAGTGAGTATTCAAAGAGCCTTTTCCACGTGTTGAAAAGGTTCTTTGAAGATACAGCATAAAATGTTAGCATTAAAAAAGGGACAGATTTTTACTTTTAAAAAAGGTGAGAGGAGGCAGAAATGAGGACAGTTTTACAGAATCATTTACCCTAGTAGCACAACTACACTGCCTATCACAGATGTCATAGTGGAATTTCTGTGTTAATTGAGGGCTTAGATCAGACTTGGACATAATTATCAAAATTGTAGGTGACACAAGGGTAGGAGAGATAGAATACAATGGATGATGAAACTGGACAGGCTAGAATCATGCAACAAACATGCACTACCGTAGCTAGTAGGCACTAGAGATACAAAAATATAGTCCCTGCCAAAAAGAAGTTCACATTCTTCTAGGGCAGAAGGAGTTCTTAACTCTGTGTCTGATAGATCCCTTTGGTAGTCAGTCTGGTAAAGCTAATGGATTCCTCAGAATTGTGTTTTAAAATGCATAAAATCAAATACATAGGATTACACAAAGGAAACCAATTATATTGAAATATAATTATCAAAAAAAATTTTTTTTTGGGGGGGAGGCAATTGGGGTTAAGTGACTTGCCCAGAGTCACACAGCTAGTAAGCGTTATATGTCTGAGGCCGCATTTGAACTCAGGTCCTCCTGACTCCAAGGCTGGTGCTCTAGCCACTGTGCCACCTAGCTGCCCCCATCAAAATACTTTTAAACAAATTTATGTACTTTGAGATTAAGAGACCCTGTATTAGGGGGATACAACGTGGATACAGATAAGTAGAAACAAAATAATTTTAGAAAGCACCAACAATGGTGGGAGAGGGATTAAATCAATCAATTGGTAAGCATTTATTAAGTATCTGCTATGTGCCAGTCATTGTGCTAAGCTTTGAGGATACAAAAAGAGGCAAAAAATAGTTCCTGCCTTTCAGGAGTTTATAATCAAATGGAGGAGACACTATGCAAACAAATATCTACAAAGCAAGCTATATGCAGGATATATAGTTAAGAGGGGTTGCGAAAGGCTTCCTGTAGGATTTTAATGGGGACTTCAAAGAAGCCAGGTTGATCAATAGAGCAGAAAAGGGAAAGTGTTCCAAGCATGGGGGATAGCCAGAGAGAATGCTCAGAGCCAAGAGATGGAATGTCTTGGTCAAGGAATAGCGAGGAGGCCAGTGTCCCTGGATCAAAGAGTACGTGCTGGGAAGTAAGGTATAAAAAGACTTGAAAGGGAGGGAGCTAGATTATGAAGGCTTTGAATGCCAAACAGCATGTTGTATTTGTTCCTGGAGGCAACAGGAAGCCACTGGAGTTTTCTGAGTAGGAAAGGGGGAGGGAAGGCTAGGGAAAGGGTAACATCAGGGTGGATCCTGAAAGGATTTCATATAGGAGCTGATGCCTGAACTAAACCTTGAAGGAGGCAAAGGACTTCAAGAAGCAGAAATGAGGAGGCCGTTGTATTAAGGGGAAAGTGAGGGGATAGACTATAAAAAGGCACAGAAGTGAGAGACAGCATGTTTGAGTAGGGAGAGAGCTAGGAGGCTGGATTGCCTAGAATGATGAAATTTAATCCAGCAAACACAGTCTTACACTTGGGTTAAACCAATCAGCTTCTCATGCACAGAATAGGAGAGACATGTTTAGAAAACAGTTCATGTGAAAAATGCTGGGAGTGTCAGTGGACTGGAAGCTTAATGTGAGCCCACAGCAGGTCATCATAACCAAGAGGGCTCTTGGGACCTTAGGCTGCATTTACAGAAGTCTGATTAATGGTTTTCTCCCAAGGCTGATTTCAGCTTCTCCTCCGAGTGCCTAGATCAGTACTAAACTCATTGAAAAAACTGAATGACCTAGAGGTGGCAGCAACAACAATGGGAAGAAGATAGTACAAGTGGCTTATAGGTCTCGAAAGAGAAAGAGTTGTTGTGGGGTAGTAGCAGAAGAATTGTCTCCCTTACTCCTCCTCTAGCTGGATAGTGTAGTAGAGAGCCTGCAGGACTTGAAAGCAAGTAATAACTGAGTCTGATCCTTTCTCGGCTACTTGCGAGCTTTACGACCCTGGGCAAATTATTTAACTTTTGTCAGTATCAATTTCCTCACCTGTAAAATGAGTATACCTCATAGCACTGATACAGTGATTAAATAAGATTTTATATTGATCTTGTTGTTCAGTGGTTCAGTCGTGTCCAGCTGGGATTCTCTTGGTAAAGATACTGGAGTGGCTTGCCATTTCCTCCTCCAGTGTGTCCCCATTTTACAGGTGAGGAACTGAGACAAATAAGGGTTAAAGTGACTTGCCCAGGGTCACACAGTTAGTAAATGTCTGAGGCCAGTTTTGAACTCAAATCTTCCAGACTCCAGGCCCAGTGCTCTATCTATTGCACAACCTAGCTGCCCAAAATTTTATACACACACATATCTCTTTACAAATTTTAAATTACCATATAAATCTTAACTATTATCATTACTAAAACGTTTGTATCTTAGGTTCTACAGAGTGGTTGAAGCAATGATACCTTTGTTAAAATGTTTTTCACTGGGAGACAATTCTAGAGGTTGAGAAAAGAAAGAAATTTATTTGGGAGTCTTAGATATCCAGTCTGTATGTGGGTTCTTCAAAAGATCTGTGATTTCTTTGGTATGAGTATGCCCTCCACCAACGTAAAATGTAACCACTACATGCCTTAGTAGACTATCTTCATGAAATTGCTGTGATCAAAAGCACTACTTGGTAGCATCCATCCTTGCAGGTGTGAGACTTTCCAAACTTAGGCAATCATCAGACGTATAGGCCAATTGCCAGACATAGCCTCAAAGCCTTTCTAATTTGGCAAGGATCTGCATTCCCTTGGCCTAGGTCCTAAATATAAGGTCACCTCTACTGAAATATGATGGATCAGTGCAGGACTTTAGTGAAAGACATACATTATATTGCCACTTAATTTCTTATTCTCAGATGCACCGTCAAGAAGTTGCTATATTTAGCTAAGTATATTGTCTATCTACATTTAGTAATAATAATAGCTAGCATTTATATAGCACTTTAGGGTTTTCAAAGAGCTTTACATATATTATCTCATTTGATCTTCACAACAATCCTATGAGGTAGTTCCTGTTATTATCCCTATTTTCACAGAAAAAGAAACTGAGGCACAAACAGTTTAAGTGACTTGCCTAGGGTCACACAGCTAGTAAACAGCCAACATTTGTATAGCTCTTACTTTGTGACAGGCACTGTGCTAAACACTTTATAATTGTTATCTAATTAATCTAATTGATCCTCACAACTACCCTGGGAAGTAGGTGCTATTATTATCCTCATTTTACAGATAAGGAAACTGAGGCAAAATAGCAGTTAATCAGCTTGCCCAGGTCCCACAGCTAGTAACTAAGAGACTAAATTTGAACTGAGATCTTCCTGACTTCAGGCCAGTTTTCAAGTCACTGTGCCATCCAGCTGTTTCATGATATTTACTCATCTGGATCTATTTGCTTTAAAAGTAAAATTATTCTTCACTCAGAGATTCCACTGTTAGGCATATCCCTCAAAGAGATCAAAGGCAGAAAGATCCTATTTGTAGCAAAGAAGTGGAAATAAAACTTGTGTCCCTTGATTGGGGAACAGCTAAATAAATTGTGGTACATAAATGCAATGGAATATTATTACACCAAATGAAACAATGAACATGAGAAACAATGAACATGAGAAATACAGGAAGACATTCACATAATAATGCAAAGTAAGTAGAACCAGGAAAACATATTATGACCACAACAATGGAAACAATAAATAAAATTAAACCAAATGCATTATAATTATAATGACCAAACTTGGCCCAGGAAAAGGGATGAGAAAATTCACCTCCTCCCTATTGAAGAGGTGAGGGATCATGGGTATGAAATGTTGCCTAGGCTCTCAGATTTGCTTGATGTGTCAGGTGGTTTTGCTGACCTTTTTTCCTTTTAAATCTTTGTTAAGAAGGAAGACTTTCGGGGGGGGGCAGTGAGGGGAGGGAGAGGGCTATGTTTGGAAATAAGTGCAATATAAAACTTTTAAAAATATTTTTAAAATACGTGACATAACTCACCATCAGAAACATTCCAGACTAGAATGGACTGATCCTTTAACCCACTGTACACATACTTATCATCGTTGGAAAAACAGACACATTGAATTCCTTGGTAGAAAGCACCCTGGTAAAAATGAACAATGAAATTTTGATGATGCCTTAAAAGAAACCAAAATGAAAATGATAGCTAGAAATCCAGCTCTGAAACGTTGAAACAGCGACACAGTCATGGCAAGGCTTGGGAGGGGGCACTCAGTCCCACTGAGAAGAGTAGTTCTTGCTTCTACAGTACTCTAAGGTTAGCAAAAACTTCTCACAACAACCCCAAGATTGTACCACTATTATTTTCCCATTTTACAAATAAAGAAATTGAGTCACAGAAAGGCCAGGTGACTTTCCAAAGGTCGAAGATTTGGTTAACATTAGAATTTTAACCTAGGCCTCCATGGCTCCTTCCATTGACCATGTTGCCTCTCAAGGGAAGAGACCCTTCTGTCTGTCTGTGGGGTGTGATAGCACACTGGTAGATGCAGCGTTGTTCGGTTGTTTTCAGTCGTATCTGATTCTTCAAGACTGCTTTTGGAAAAAATGCTACAGGGGTTTGCCGTTTTTTTCTCCAGCTCATTTTACAGATGAGTAAACTGAGACAAATAGGGATAAGTTACTTGCTCAGGGTCACACAGCTAGTGTCTGAGTTCAGATTTGACCTCGGGAAGATAAGCCTTCCTCCTGCACTATGGTGCCACCTAGCATCCCAAATACATAGTAGTCATTACTTAAGTATATAATGATGGACTTCTGGGGGGGGGGGGACTGGCCTTGAGGCTGCAGGTTCCTACTCCTGACAGACTACAAGGTGTTTAAGAGACTCAGGGACATTTTGGGTTAAGTAAATAGCATATTTTTCAAGCCAGTAAACATAGGCGAAGGATTAGTAGCATTCCCTTTTCTTCTTCAGCCTTTTTTTTTTTTACAGATGTGGATATGTATTATACTATAAGTTCACTATGGTATAATTACTCTAAATCTGAATCACCTGTTAAGTGTTACTATGATCAGGGAGGCAAGGCAGTTGAGACATGGGAGCCAGAAAGCTACTGTTGCTGACAGTAGCATTGATGAGTACACCACCTCTCCTCCATTCTAAAAACTACCTGCTAGGAGCAGAAAATACCAGGTAGAGCCGAGTTCTCTGGGATGGTTCACCTAGGCTGGTCTGGCATACTGCGGTTGCAATGCTGAATGAGCCGTAATGAGTAAGATGGTCAGGACTTTGCCCCAGGGGACCAAACTATAGAAATCTCTGACAAAAATTGCAGTCCTTTAACAAAATAAAAATATGACTTTCAGTCCTTATCAGCTTCCTTATACCTCCACTCTAGGTGGCTCAACCCTAAGTGAGTTCCATCCTTCTTTGTTCTCCAACTGAATTTGCCTTTAAAATTGATTTGAGGATGTTTTTCCATTTCTCGGGGCACCAAAATTGCTAGTAATGAATCTGATTACCCTTAAAGGAGAGACGAGAGCAATAGCTTAGTCTGCTGTCTGACAGAGCACTTTAAATCAACTTCAGTGGTTTTCTCTGTGTCCCCCTATGTTTTTGTCTTAGGGATAAGTCTTGTGGACCAAGCCATGCTATAACCCACCCATGATCGTATGATCATAAGCACAAAGAACTATAATGATAATGACTGTTTCACAAGGTTAGCAACAGCCACTTTCTTGACCTCCACTGTTCTTTCAAGTGTGTCTGGGTCAAAGTTGGTTGGTACAGAGTTGAAAGCCAACAGAAGTACTAATAGTAAGAGAGCACCTAGCTCCCTTAATGACTTCAAGTCAACATGTCCAGATTAACTGAATTTCAAAGTACTGAAAGAACTGGAATTTTATTGGCATTCTATTATTTTTGATCTTTGAAAGTCATGAAGGATGGATGATGTGCCACACTGGCTGGTAAAAAGAAATGTTATCTCAATTTTCATAAATGAGAAAAGAATGAAATCTGCAAACTGTGGACCAGTGAGCTTGATTCCTGGCAAAATATGTTATTAAAAGGTATGGTTAGATGGAAGGAGTAGTACTGAAGAATTAGTATGACCATCAAGAGCAAGTTATACCAAACTAGCCTCATTTCTAATTTTGACTGGATAACTAAAGTTTCAAGATTTTAGTAAAACATTTGACAAAATCTCTTATGCTGCTCTTGAGAAAAAGAGTAAAAAGATGTGGGCTATACAGTACTACAGCTATTATTCAGAACTGGTTGAAATCAGACCCAAGAAGTCGTTAAGGATTTGTTGTTATTTTGGAAGGAAGTCTCTGGTAGATTGTCCCAAGGATCTATGCTTGGTCCTGTGGTTTGTTTTGTTTTGTTTTTAATCAGTGACCTGGACAAACAGATAGATGGTATGCTTATTAAATTTGCGAAACACATTGAATGGCAGAATCAGAATCCAAAAGGCTAAAATGTTGGGCCAAATATAATAAGATGAAATTTAGTAGAGATACATGTAAAGTATCATGGTTAAACACAAAAATCAATTTCAAAAGTAAAAGATTGGTGAGTGTGGCTAGAGAGAAGTTAATCTGAAAAAGATTTGGCAGTCTTAGTAGACCACAAATTCATTATGAGTAAACAGTATGATATGGCTGACAAAAAGAACTAATCATGCCTTGGGCAATGTTAAGAGAAACATAGTTTCCAAAAAGAGGGAATTGATAGTCTTTCTATCCTGTGCCCTAGTCAAATCACATCTGAAGTATTTTATTCAATTCTGGGAACACAATATAGGGAAAAACATCGATAAGCTGGAGAACACACAGAGATCAGCCAAGATGATGAAGATCATATCATATAATGAGATCATATCATATCATATGAGGATCACCTGGAAAAAAAAATGTTGGGGAGAGAAATGTAGCAGGGATGTGCTAGCTATCTTCGAGGGCTTTGATATGGAAAAGGCTCTAAACTTCTTCTAGAAAGCAGAAGGCAAAAATAGGAGCCATGGGAAGAAATTATGGAGGCAAACAGGGTTGGTGTAGGGAAAAACTTCCAAATAATTATGGCTGTACAAAAGGTAGAATGGCCTGCCTTAGGCTGTAGTGCAATAACTTTCAGAAGGGGTCTTTGAAGAAAAAAAGGCTGGATGATGATTACCCTTGTTGTTTGGGTTTTAGAAGGGATCCTTGATCAAATCAATTAAAGTAAAAAACTTTTAAGTGTTTACTGGGTGCAAAGCACTGTGCTAGAGTCTGGAGGCATAAAGACAAACACTAACAAGTGCCCACCCCCAAAGAACTAATTTTCTATTTGGAGTATTCAGATAAGTAAAAGGATCACAGAGAAAGTGAAAACTACGAGGAACCTGGAAGGAAGATAAAGATTATACCAGTTGAACTAGATGATTTCTGAGGTCCCTCTCAGCTCTGAGATTATGTGATTCTGTGACCCTTTCATGAGGGCAGCTAAATAGACAGAGTGCCAGGCCTGGACAAAGGAAGAAGGAAGATCATCTTCCTGAGTTCAAATCTGGCCTCAGATACTTAGTAGCTGTGCGACCCTGGACAAATCATTTCACCTTCTTTGCCAGTTTCCTCATTTGTAAAATGAGCTGGAGAAGGAAATGGCAAGCCACTCCAGTATCTCTGCCAAGAAAACCTCAAATGGTGCCATGAAGAGTCAGGTACAGCTGAAAACAACTGAATAATAACTGACTTTTTCAGAGTTTGAAGGACCCTGACAGTAAGTAGTTGCACAGTTTCATTGTGTCAGCAAATCAGTGTTTTAAAAAGTCATTTAATACTATTTTGTGAGTATTTTGAGCAAAGTGCTTTGAAAAACTTAAAGCAACACAGAAATGTGAGCAGCTACTCTTATTACCACCACCATCATTATTCTTATCATTTTTATAACATGCCTACTTACAGAACCCTTAGGTTTCTGTGTTTGAGGATGAAGGCCTACCTCCAAGGTCAGCGTATGCTTCCACTTGCAGAGCTCTAGGTCCCAAAGGTACAGCAGTGACTCCTGAGAACTGCTTACTGCCCATGCTCCTTGTGACTGACTTCTAAACAGGTAACTTTGCCCTGGGGGGCTTCTAACGGGAAAACCTTGGACTTCGCACACTCATAAATAAACACCTCTCCACTGGTCATGCCGTAGACTACCCGGTAGTTGGTGAGAACAGCTATACTGGATATCATAGCAGGCAGCTGAGTATAAAATGTGTATGTAGGTCCATCAATTACTGGGCAGGGATCTTCTGGCCTAATGTCCATCACCAGTACTATGTTGTCATATGCAATGACCAGCCGCTCTTCTCCTTTGCTCAGGGCCATGCATTTGACAGGTTTCTTAGCCTCTGGGGGTGGGATGCACGTTACATCCTGCCTGGAGTTCAGGGGAAACACTAGGACTGTCCCTGAGATCAGCCCAGCAAAGAGCAACTTCATCTGCTCAGCAACTTCCAGGCACTGCACTTCATTTGAAGCATCTAAGATAGCATGATCTTCCCCTGAAATAAAGACAGTCTTTGCATTAAGAACAGCTTTGTTTTCTACTCAAATGAGAGGTAAAGTGGCTTGATGGAAAGAGTGCTAGACTAAGAATCAGGAGACCTGAGTTCTAGTCCTGGCTCTGCTGTTAATTATTTATAATTATTATTAAATAAATTATTTAAATTTTATTTAATGATAAGTAATATAATAAATAATTTGACATTAATTATTTGTGATTATTATTAATAATTATTTTCACTTTTATGACCTGAAGCCGACCACTTGATTGCTCTGTAGTTCAGCTTCTGGCAAGAAACCTGACATTCTATATTCTGAGGACCCTCCCAGCCCTGGCATCCTGTATTCTGAGGACCCTCCCAGCCCTGTCATTCTGTGTTCTATGTTTTAAGATTGTTTCTAGCTGTATGGAGCTATGTTCTATATCCTAAAGTTCTTCCTAGTTTTGATGTTTTATGATATATAAGGTACCATAAAGTGGAATACCAGATTTGGAGTCAGAAGACCTGAATTCAACTCTGTTTCTATCACCTACTACCTCTTTGACCTTGAACAAATCATTTATCCTCTGTAGCGCTCAGTTTTCTTATCTGTAATATGAAGAGGTTATACTAGATGGCCTCTAAGGTCCCTTTCAGCTTTAAATCTCTGATCCTGTGATGTTGGGATTTACCTGTCGCTTAAGCTTTCATATGGCATTTTACAAACCTTCCACAGAGTCCCAGACAGTGATTTTGGTTTTGTCTCCTATTTTGGGGAAGTATACATAGTTTCCATTGTGAGACACTGCAGCACAGCCAGTGCGGTCCAAAAAAGGGGGTGGGAGTTTATGTTTCTGTGTATAAGCAAGATCCCAAGCTCTGAAGGATGATGAATTCCTGGAGGCAGAAACCAAAGTGTGTCCATAGCAGGCCAGCATATTCACTGGGGTTCCCGTGCCATCAAAAATGTCCAGAAGGGTCCCCTGCTCCGACAGACTCCACACCTGAGAAGAATCAAGGGTAGAAGTAGGCAGAATTAAATCTTCTGTTAAATGTTGGTACACTGGAATGCTGTTTAGTTGTGTGTATATGACTAGGTCAGTGAGGAGTTTGGGGCAGAAGGCTAATGGAGCAGGACTGGGACGAAAGCATTTATCAGCCTGAGTCAGAGGATGGATCAAGCACAAGCTTCTTGTCAGAGATGAAGGCAAGGAGAAAAGCATCAAGAAGGAGGCCCGCGTGAAGGCTGATATGGATCGGTGGATGAGTGCCAGGAAAGTGGCCTAGGGGTGTGTGAGGCTTTGCTCTGACCTCCTCGGGGAGCTAGCAACAGCCTACCTTCTCTCCCCTGGCCCTGCCTCTCTAGACCAGTGATGTCAAACTCACATAGAAAAGGGGGCCACTAAACCATATATAGGGATCCCTATGGGAACATAGTGACTTAGAAAATCACATATCAACATTATTTTTGTTTTGTTGTATTTTTAAAAATTTTGTTAAATATTTGTTAAATATTTAAAAATTTGTTACATTTTAATCTAGTTCAGGCCTGTGGGCTGCATGCACCCGTGTGTGTGTGGCACTTCTATCTGGACCCTACCCAAACACTACTGGGGTAAAACCCTCACCAGAAGCCACCCTGAGAGCCCCTGCTCCATCCCCATCCTTATCATTACCTGTCCCCTTCCTGAGCTCAGATAGGACTCTTGAAGGGTAGCAGGTCACTAGGCTCATGTCTAGTCCAGAGCAGTATAGAAGAGGCTAAAGACAGAGAAGCAGTATGGTGGTGCGGAAAGAGGAATGGATTTAGAGTCAGGAGGCCTGGATTCATTAGCTCTGATGCTAGTTGTGTGACCCTAGGCAAGTCACTTTCCTTCAAAGCTTCCGGTTTTTCATCTACAAAATGGGGATAAATAATACTGATACTACCTATCTCCTGCTGTTTTGGTGAGGAGAGCACTTCATAAACTTTAAGTTACTATAAAATAACTGAAAGATCTCTGGAGGGTTATTGGATGATAGTGATTCCAGCATTCTTTTAACACAGAGGAAGAAAGATCAGACTGGCGGCTAGGATCCCCATGGGATTTGGGTCTTGTCTCTGTTACTGACTTGCTGGGTAACAAGGAATTCTCTCTGGGACTCATTTTTACATCAGTAAAGTGAGGAAATTAGACAAGACAACCTCTAAGGTTCCTCACAGTTGTAATTTTCCACGGGTCTAAGATTCCAGAAGAACACAGATGGATACACCAGGGCCATTTCTAACTGTCCCACCACATCCTTGGTCTGTGGTCCTTGAGAAGCAATGGTCCACCTGGAATACCAAGCATTCTTACTCTCTTACCTGGATGAATGCATCAAGAGACCCAGTAACAAGCACATTGTTATCAGGACTAATAACAGCTGCTTCCACTGTGTCCTCATGTTCAAGATCTGTGGCCATGAATCCGTGAAATCCCTTTGAATCTGCCAAAAATACTCGGACATATTTTCCAAAACCTAAAACAACAGTAGTTCAACAAGTCAACTCAGTAGATAACAGTAACAATAATAATAATAATTATTATTATTATTAATTATTGTAAAATTTATATTGCACTTTAAAGTTCATATAGTGCTTTACAAATATGATCACATCAAATGCTTATTAAGAACCTGTTATGGAAGGGCAGAGCCAAGATGATAAGGTAGGAGGAAGAAATAAAGTGAGTTCCCTACCAAAAATCCTCCAAACAGATCTAGAAAATATACTAGATACACTAATGAACCACTGGTGAAGTAGTGAACTGGTCCAACCGTTTGGACCTAGGTAGAACATTTTGCAACTATACCCAAAGGGCTATAAAATCATGCAACACCCTTTGACCCATAAATAACCACTAAAAGGTCTATATCCCAAAAAGATCAGAGAAAAAGGAAAAGAACCTATATGTATAAAAATATTTGTAGCAGCTTTTTTTGCAGTGGCAAAGAATTGGAAATTGAGAGGATCCTCATCAATTGAGGAATAGCTGAACAAGTTATGGCCTGTGATTGTGATGGAGTACTATTGTGTCATGGGAAATGAAGAAGGGGATGGTTTCAGAAAAACATGGCAAGCACTATATTAACTGATGCAAAGTGAAATGAGAAGAACCAAGAGATCACTGTGCCCAGTGACAGCAATATTGTAATGATCATCAACTGTGAAAAACTTGACTGTGCTGATCAATACAATGATCTAAGACAATTCCAAAGGATTCATGATTAAAAAGAAAAGCTTTCCACCTCCAGAGAGAGAGCTGATGAATTCTGAAAACTGAAGTATAATTTCTCGTTTTATTTTCCTTGATTTTTTAAAAATATGAAAAAAAGAAAAGTTTTAAAAGGGGGGGCAGCTAGGTGGCTCAGAGGACCTGAGTTCAAATCCGGCCTCTGACACTGACACTTACTAGCTGTGTGACTCTGGGCAAGTCACTTAACTCCATTGCCTAGCCAAAAAAAAAATATATATATATATATATATATGTATTATGTATATGGCTAATATGAAAATATGTTTTACATGATGTTACATGTATAATTGATATATTGCTTGCCTTCTCAGTGGGCTTGCATGGAGGGAATGCAGTGGCAGGGAGAGAATTTGGAATGCAAAATTAAAAAAGAAAAGAATGTTAAAAATAATGTCAAATTTTTAAAAAGGATAGTCAGGAAGAAAGGAAAAGAAACAAAGAAAAAGGAAGGAAGAAAATGTACCAGAATGAATCCTGCTGGGGAAATCCTAGAAATAAATCATAGTGAGTCATTTTTCCAGCTCAGGTTAGCATAGGGAAATAGGGAGATCTGTGAATACTGGAAACGGGTCTGGCCAGGAGCCACCAAAGCAAAGTGCTTCAGTGTGGGGAGAGGCTGTGCACAAGAACAAGAGGAAGTCCCAGACCCATTCTGGGGCACTGTGACCTCAGGCAGTTGCAGAAAAAGGTGCCAACTTTGTCAAGGCAGCTTTGTCACCCACTATCCAATTCCGGGTCACAGATCCAGGGCAGAAAGATGACGAGCCCTGTGCTTAGAGGTGGTATCCTGAGTAAATAGTGGTTGCAGACCCTGATCAGTGTCATGAGAGAGGAGCAAGTTCAGAAAACAGCAGCAGCAGTATGGCTCAGACTTAAAGAACAGAGCAGGATTTCATTTCCAAAGTCTAGCCCAGCCTGAGGCCTATAGGTGAAAAACCAGGAAGGGATTCCACATCAAAGGAAAGCTTCCAGTTCTGTCACTCTGAATCAGCCAAGCTTCCCAGATAGGACTGAGTCCACCAGCATTCTACTGTTGCTCAAGCCCAAACCCAGGTCAGGAACTTGCAGAGCTCAGACCAGGAGAGCAACTATCAGACTTTACCCTGGATCAGACTACTCTGGGAGCTCTGAGAGCTTGCAGGTCCCCATCTTCAGCCTTCCCTGAGATCCTGGAATAATACAACACACACTACTCCTAAGAAAGCAGCAGTAGAACTAGCCCAAACATTGCCTCCAGAATTGTGTAGAGCCTGGCCCCAACATCAAGTTCAAAGCCAGGAAGCAGGCTGGAAGAATGAGAAAGCAGAAAAAGAATCCCAACTGAGAAGAAAAGAATGACTCTACAAGCAAAGCCTCAAAGTAAAATGTAAGTTGGACACAAATTCAACTAGTATTCTGGAAGATGAAGCATAAAGTTTTTTTTTTATTAATTAATTAATTTATTTTTAGTTTTCAGCATTCACTTCCACAAGATTTTGAGTTCCAAATTTTCTCCCCATCTCTCCCCTCCACGCACCCCAATGGTGTGCATTCTGAGTACCCCTTTCCCCACTCTGTTCTCCATTCTATCATATATACCCCCCTCTTATCCCCTTCCCCTTCTATTTTCCTGTAGAGCAGGATCAATTTCTATACCCCATTGCCTATATATCTTATTTCCCAGTTGCATGTAAAAACAATTTTTAAATGAGATTACTAGAGGAAAACATTGGAAAAGAAATGGGAGATTTAGAAGAATTGAAAAGAGGGTTTAATAGCTTGGCTTAAGAGGTACAAAATCTTACCCAAGTAACGAAGTCCCTGAAAATTTGGAGGGACAAAGTAGAAGCCAACGACTCCATGAAACAATAGGATATGTAAAAACAAAGTCAAAAGATTTAAAACATGGAAGAAAATTAAGTTATCTGAGCAAAAAACAACTAACTTAGAAAACAGATCAAGGGGAAAAAACATTAAGAATCATTGAGGTCTCTGAAAACCATGAGAGCCCTAAACATTCTATTTCAAGAAATCTTAAGCCTAGAAAGACTTGTATGGTCTGATGCTGAGTAAAGTGAGCAGAACCAGAAGAACGTTGTACACAGTAACAGCCATGTTGTGCAGTGATTAATATTGATAGACTTAACCCTTCTCAGCAATTCAAGGATCTAAGACATCTCCGAAGGCCTCATGATGGAAAATGCTATCCACATCCAAAGAAAGAACTGTGGAGTTTGAATGCAGATGGAAGCATACTATTTGCCTTTTTTTTTCTTCTGTTATGTTTTGTTTCCTCTTTCTGGTGGTTCCTCCTATTGGTTCTAATTCTTACTTACAACATTACTAATATGAAAATATGTTTAATAGGAATGTGTATGTGTATCTATATCAGATTGTGTGCCATCTAGGGGAGAGAGGTGGGAAGGGAAGGGGAGAAAAATGTAAAACTCAAAAGTTTATGGAAGTGGTTGTTGATAAATCAAAATAAATTAATTAAAAATTTAAAAAAGAAATGTTAAAAAAAAGAAAAAAGAAATCTTAAAAGAAAACTGCCCAGATCTCTTAGAGCCAGAAAGCAAAGTGGAAGAAGAATGAACCTAGTGGTTACCCCTGAAAAAAAAAATGAAAATTCCTTCATACATTATAGCCAAAATCCAGAGCTTCCAAATCAAAGAATAAATACTACAAGCAGCCAGAAAAAGAAAGAATTCAAATGTTAAGAAGCCAAGTAAGGATCACACTCAACTTGTTAGCCACCATTATGAAGGAGCAGAGAGTTTAAGATATGATATTTCAGAAGACAAAGGATATAGGCTTAAAGCCAAAAATAACATAACCCAGCAACACTGCATATAATCATAGAGTGGGGAACTGGACTTCTAATGAAATGGAGAACTTTTAAGCTTTCCTGATAAAAAGACCAGAGATTTGTAGAAACTGAAGTTCAAACATGAACTTCAAACATGAAGTTCAAACATAAAAAGGCAAACACAAATGAACAGTGATAATGGACTAAACAAGGATATGTTGATATTCTGGATGATTCATGTGTCCCTCTGAACTCTATCATCATCAGGGATCATAGAGGGATTCTAATTAGATAGTAGAAGGCCTGGGAGTGGTTCTATTATGTCTTAATGATCTTAAAAGAAGAATGGAGGGGGCAGCTAGGTGGTAAAGTGGATAGAACTCCATCCTTGGAGTCAAGAGGACCTGAGTTCAAATCTGACCTCAGACACTTGACACTCACTAGCTGTTTTTGACCCTGGGCAAGTCACTTAACCCCAATTGCCTCACCAAAAACAAAAACAAAATAAAAACGAAAAGAAGAATGGAAAGGGAAGGAAAGAGGGACTTGGGAGATGTAGGGAAAGGATGATTAGGGAAAATTATCTCACATCATTGGAGTGCTCAAGGGGAAGTTTATACAAACAAAGAGGAAGGGATAGAGAAAGCAGCTGACATTTAAATGGTAGTCTCATCTGAACTGATCAAAATAATAGTGATAAAATAATAATATTAGCTAGCACTTATATAGTGTCTACTCTGTGTCCAGTATTGTGCTTTATAAATATTTAATTTGGTCAGAGGAGGGAAGAATACACACACATAGAGCTGGGTGCAGAAATATCTAATTCAACAGGGCAATAGGAAGAAAAAAAAGAGAAGGAAGAATTTAGAGGGAGGGCAGGTTAAGGGAGAAATTAGTCCTAAACAAAACAAACTCTAAGGATGTACAAATGTATTTATAATTCTTTTTGAAGTAGCAAAGTGGAGACTGAGAGGGGAGTCTAACAATTGTGGTTTAACAAGTTGCAGTATATAAATGTGACAGAATACTATTATGCTTAAGAAATGATGAAGGGGGTGGTTTCAGAGAAATCTGGAAAGACTTGTAAAAACTGATGCAGAGTGAAGTGAACAGAACCAGGAGAATGATTTGTACAATGACAATAATGTAAAGACAAAAAGTCTTGAAAGACTTAAGTTCAGATCAGTGCAATGTCTAACCATGATTCCTGAAGACTAATGATAAAACATGCTGCCCACCGCCTAACAGAGAGATGAAAGACTTAGAGTTTGGAATGAGACAAACATATATGTATATACATATAAGTACATATACATGTATACATGTACACATATACATATACATTTATATATATCTATATATATCTATATTGGGGCTGTCAGGTGGCACAGTGGATAGAGCACTGGGCTTAGAATCAGGAAGATTCATCTTCC